AATGAAGGATATGTAAAAGTTCACAACCTTTCCATTATAGATAAAAGTATTTAATTCTCATTGTTCCACAACCTGTTCAAGGATAAGAAACAAAACATTTATCAAATATTTTAATTAATATAAATAACTAAAAACAGTAAATAAATTCAAAACGTTTTAATTTTACTGTAACTTTTAGATCTTCGTAATCCTTATTATATGATTATCACAGAAGTCTTCACGATTTACATAACTTTTTAGCTGGTTATTCCTTCTTGTATCTGTAAATCTGGTCATGGGCTCCAGTAGGAAGGGGCATTTGCCTCTCCCCCCTTACATTTCACAAACAAATTGCACGTATTATGATGTAAACTTAATGTCGTAGTTAAACTAAATAGTATTAGTAATTTTTTATTAAAACTGTAAATTTGTGTTTGCGTTCAAGCACACATTATTTTAGTCTGTTGAGTTATACTGTAAAAGTCCCCTGCATACACGTTTCGCCCCCCCCCCCCGAAAATATTTCTGTGGGCGCCCATGAATCCAGTTCACTGACATTAATAACCAGCTACTTAGAAATCATAATAAGCTTTTAATGATTAGTTTCGACCACATAATCGTCCATTGGTAAATTCAGTATGACTGATTGAACACTAGATTTTTTTCTCAACGAATAAAGAAAACGTGTTTGCTTTCAGTAAAAAAATAATGATATCAGTAGCCTTAAAATATATTTTTATTATTAAAAAAAATCTTGTTTCTACCCTTTTAAATTTACTTATTTTGGTTTTAATTATCAAAGTAAACGTTTGATTAGATTCGTCTTAAAGTTGCTCCTTTCTGTAAAACTACTACTTAAACCTATAAACATACTCTATAAAAGCTTGATGTTGAGCACCTTGCAACTTAATATAATTTTCTTAGAATTTGTGTGTTTGTATTAACACATTTATCTCGTTGGCTAAGAATAGTGACACAGAAGCATATCACACGCTTCATAGCAAATTTCAATAAAGGCCCTAGCTATCCCCCCCCCTTTTCATAATCCATGCAAAAAAGAAAATATTGGATTGTTTTCTCAAGGGATGGCAGTTTCTAAAAAATATAAAACTATGCTTTGGAAAGGTCAGAAAATTCGAAAAAAAAAAGTCAATAAGATCATTGTTTACAGGCAAGACTCTTCCGAGCTATGCAGAAACGAAACTTTCAATTTTATATATTCTTTTCCGAATTTCACTAAATAAACATTTTTACCAAATGAAAAAAATATCAATTCTACGTTATTTTTGAGTCAAAGATTATTGTAATATATTTAGAATTATCATGCTTATCTAAATTTTGAAATTTGATATGCAGTCGAGTCTGGAAAAAATGCTCATTTATCGTGATAAATCTATTATAATAATACTCAGTTTTTGTCTGTCCTAAAAATGCGCGCGCTCTTCATTTCAACGGATGTTTGTTTGTTTTTGAATTTCGCGCAAAGCTACACGAGGGCTATCTGCGCTAGCCGTCCCTAATTTAGCAGTGTAAGACTAGAGGGAAGGCAGATAGTCATCACCACCGCCAACTCTTGGGCTACTATTTTACCAACGAATAGTGGGATTGACCGTCACATTATAACGCCCCCATGGCTGAAAGGGCGAGCATGTTTGGTGTGAACGGGATTCGAACACGCAGATTGCGAGTCGAGTGCCCTAACCACCTGGCCATGCCGGGCCGATCAACGGATGTAAATATACTTTAGTAAACATTTTGTACAACATCTTAAAAGCTTATTAAAGTTTTTAAAAAGCTCTA